GCGATGTCACGGCGTGCGTCGAGCTGTCGATCAAGTACGTGCGCGCCATTGACAAAGAGCTGGAGTGGCGGATGCGCGACCTGCAGCTGCTGGAAGGTACGAAGCTGTTTCGCACAGCTTCGTACGTGCCCGATGACACGAAGCGCGTGGAAACTTTCAAGAAGTGGCTCGGCCAGCTGCACAAGTTGTACCACAACAAGTTGCCAGGTAAGCCTTGTGCAGCGATAGCAAAAAATCTGACGTGAGATGTCTCAACAAATTACGCATTGAGGATAACCCGTGCACGCAAACCTGTCCGATGCTTGTTGGACTAATGTCCCCCATTCCTACCCGTGTTTGCGAGCATCGGCCAAGCTTTCACCCCAACCCCGCCCCACCAAAGGGTTTGACTACAAGAGAGCCCAGCGGCAGCCTAGGCGACACAAGCCTGGAGCATCTGATGCGTTGCTCCCTGCTGCGGTACGAGGTCGACTGGTTTGAGGTGGTCGCCATCTTTCGTGGAGAGAAGCTGAGGCGATTCACCAAGGAGTTTGACCCCACCAGGGCTTCGCAGACCCAGTTTGTAGAAGAAGATGTAGGCAGTGGGGGTGGCACTGAGTAGGTGTTTTGTACATGTGTTGCGTGTGTAGACTTCATGGACTCTGAATGTGCTACTGGTGAATGTCATTAAAAATAAGTTAATTCACAATATAGATACAAAAACAGGCTTAGCCTAAAACTACCCTGCTCAAATCAAGCTAGTAGTAGATTTACCCTACCTAAAACAAGGTATGAAAATTTTTACCCTAGGGGTCTGGTTAAGGAGGGACTGGTACCCTAATTCGTAAGGGTAGGCCTAAACCAATTTTGAGCCCTGCCGCACCTTCATAAATCTTTGCTTTTGCTTTTGGTGGGTTGGCATACCTATTTGTTTGTCTTTGTTTGTGAACAACTTTCATGAAAACATAATTCATGGAATAAAGTTCCTCCATCAACGTGACAAAATTAGAAGGAAGAAAGAGGATTGAACTAGCAGAAATGGGGATATAAATAGCAAACCCTAGAAGGGTTGTACTCGCTATAGAGCACCCCACTACAGGCTAGAACATAAGATAACATTCTGACACACCCCCATAGCCAAAGTGGGGTGTAATCAGTAGAGCAAACAAAGCAGTACAAGCTCAGGGTGGATCACAATGTCACCACACATTCTGAGCACAAGTTCAAGAAGCAATAGTTTAGAGTTCATAATTATGAGCAAAGCTAGTGGTAGTCACAACGGGCAAGTGAGGAGGAGGAGAGAGAGTGAGGGGAGAGGAGATAGGAGGCGACGGCTGAAGCTGCAGACACACGGGCAACAGGAGGCAGACTAGCACAGCGGCTACCGGACTAAGCGTCCGGACTACAAGAGTAACAGGCCCCGCGGCTAAAGTAGCGGCAAACGAGCAACGGACCCACGGGCGGCTGGCGTAGAAGTCTAGCTCACTGGGCTACCGGAACAATGCCCCGGACTACAGGTGCTGCGGACAACAAGCTGGCCGCCTCCACTCAACCTTCCGCAAACAGTCCCACCCCCCCGACACACACCCGCTGCTACACCGCTAGCTCCACTCCCACGCACCCCCCTTAAACCCTAAACCCCAGTCTCCCACACAACCACCCCCCTCAGCGACAGCTGCAGCAGTGGGAGACGAAGGAGGAGGAGGAGCAAAGGGAGGAATGCACACCGGCCACCCCCATACCCGCCACCCCACAGCTCGCCCCTCAGGTCGCCTCGACAGGCGACGGGAAAAGGGGGGGGGAGGGGGGGGGGGGGGCCGGGGCCGAGACGGGTAGGGCGACGGGCCGCGAAGGCAAGCGGCAGGGCCGCGACGATGGGGCGGCGAGGCCGCGACAGAAGGTGGCGCGGCCGCGACCGGAGGTGGCGGGGCCGCGACAGGTCGGTGGCGGGGCCGCGACAGAAGGTGGCGCGGCCGCGACCGGAGGCGGCGGGGCCGCGACAGGTCGGTGGCGGGGCCGCGACCGAAGGTGGCGGGGCCGCGAAGGAAAGCGGCGGGGCCGCGGGAGTGGGGCGGCGGGGCCGTGACGGGTCCCCGTCGCCCGTCGCGACGCCTCCAGAGGGGTACGCGGCGAACGACGGGGCATAAGCCCGCCGCGCGCCTCGGGGCGCACAGCGGGCAGAGAACCGCCGCGCGCCTCGGGGCGCACGGCGGGCAGAAAACCGCCGCGCGCCTCGGGGCGCACGGCGGGAAGGAAAAGTGGTAGCGGAAGCGTGGAGGTGGTAACCCACCCACAGGATCGATCCAAGGGGATCGACCTGCTCTGATAGCATGACAAAATTAGAAGGAAGAAAGAGGATTGAACTAGCAGAAATGGGGATACAAATAGCAAACCCTAGAAGGGTTGTACTCGCTATAGAGCACCCCACTACAGGCTAGAACAAAAGATAACATTCTGACACAACGTAGTATTGACGTGAATAGTATTTCTTGCGACGAGACAAGTGATCAACAAAACTCTGCGCATTTAAGTGTGGGACTACTCTAATGCGTATTCACTTGGAGGATCTTTATAAAACTGTGGACCCTTGGAAGCGGTCGGTCAGGTGGAGATCTGCCAGACTCCGCGAGACAGGCACAATCATCCTTCTGGTTCTCTAAAGTTTTGCCCTCAGACGGGAAAAGACTCGATATCTGTACTCTCAGACGAACTGTATAAGGATGTCTAAGAATTCAGATAAATACAAAAACTTTGTCTTAAAAATCAGATGAGTTTAAACGACATGTCTAGGCCACCAGATGAACCATAAAAAACGTGTCTGAAATCCAGACAAACAGACAAGAAATTTCTGATAACGTAGGCCCTGGCGGTCAGGTGGGGATCTCATTGCGTGAGGTAGAACCTTCCCTTACGTTGAACTTCTTGGCCCGCGGGTTTTAAGTAGTACAATCAGGCCAAAGGTCGCTGACCTTTGACTTTCGCGTAACCTCCAGCGGTTACTTCAACCTCCAAGGGTTGAATCGCTGGTGCCTCGATATGCTTTGCTTCGCTTGTGCCTTAGTGTTTCGACATGACAGAGGCGCTTAGGACCGATTGTTTCCAACACTCCCCTTCGCTTCTGGAGTGTCGCTGACGTGGCTCTGTCCAGTCAACAGCATGCAGTATTCGAACTTCTGCTTTCCGAGCTTCTTGGTCAGATAGTCGGCTGCCATCTCGGACGTGGGACAGTATGACAGCTCAAGCCTTCCCTTCTCGATCTCGTCCTTCACGAAGAAAGATCGCAAGGCGATGTGTTTCGTCCTGTTCGCGAATCCATTCTTGTTGGCGATGCGAATTGCCGATTGGTTGTCGCAGAACAGGGTAAAGTTGGGTAACTCGGCTAACTTTGCTTCTTCTAGTAGCTCGCGAAGGTAGAGTCCTTCCTTGGTGGCTGAGCAGAGTGCAATATATTCTGCTTCAGCTGACGAGAGAGCAATTAATTCCTGCTTGCTCGATTGCCAGGAGATAGGTCCGATAGGCTCGAAGCGGTAGATGTAGCCGGTGCGCGATCGTCTGTTGTCGGAGTCACCCGCCTGATCTGCGTCGACGTAACCGATTAGCTTAGGCGCTGTAGTTGCGTTCTTATGGTAAGTCAGGCCGACCGTCGGGGTACTGACAAGGTAGTGAAGAGCGCGGTCGAGCTCCGCCAGATGTTCCGCTTCAGGCTTCTTGAGGTGGGTGGCGAGCTGGCTTGCAGAGTCGGATAGATCTGGGCAGCAGGTGACAGCTGCGAAGAGAAGGCAGCCCAGCTTTCTCTGGTAGTCCCGTATGCCGGCGGGCTTGAGTAGAGCGGAGCCTTCCTTGTTGTTAACTGTCGTGTAGCGGTACGGTGTGGAGATGACAGTCGGTGTGAGTGCGAAACGCTTGGCGATGGTGTCGGCGTATTTTGCGGCGCTGAGGTAGATAGCGTCTTCCTCTTCGCGGATGTTGAGGCCGAGGTACTGTGTGACGGTAGATGAGACCGTGAGTGTGAGGTCTTGCTGTAGCTCCCCTTTGAACCAGGTTGTATTGCCGTCAGTTGAGCCGATGTAGAGCAGATCGTCTACATAGACGATTAGCAGGATGTAGTCGGTACCCTTCATGAGCCGGTACATGCCCTGGTCGTGCGGCAATTGCTTGAAGCCGATGCAAATGAGGCGAGCGTGTAGGTATTGTTGCCATAGTCGCGGAGCTTGCTTGATGTTGTAGAGCGACTTGAGTAGTTGACAGACGTGATTCGAGTCCGTGCTGGAGCGGTGTGGTAGCTCGATGAAGATCTCTGCGTCAACAGGTGCGTAGAGGAATGCGTTAGCGACGTCGATTTGCCGCAACTTCTTCTTCTTCATGGCGGCGATCGCGAGAAGGATGCGTAGCGAGGTGTGTCGGCTGACCGGAGCGAATGTTTCGGTGAAATCGCGTCCGTGCTCTTGGTCGAAACCGCGTACGACCCAGCGTGCCTTAAATTTGTCGATGGTGCCGTCAGACCCACTTCTCGGTGAGAACTGTCTTGTTCCGTGCCACGCCGATAGGAACCACTTTTCACGTGTTGCGTTCCTCCAGTGCCTTCAGCTCCTTGTCCATGGCTTCGCGCCATTTTTCCTTATGCTCCCCCCCCTAGAGCATGTTGAACCGTTGCAGGCTCTTTAGGAGTGACGGTGCCGTGGATGTGAGAATAAGCGAACAGGAATGAATGAACTAGCAGTGAAATGAGTACAAGTAGGAAACCCTAGAATTGTGTACCCCCTATAGGCTAACCCACTGTAGCCTACACAAGCATAACATATATAATGTTTGACACACCCCCATAGGCAAAGTGGGGGAGAACAAGGGGTCACAAGACCAGTCAAGCAAAGCAAAGCAAGCTCAGGGTGGATCACAAAGTCACCACACAGTCCGAGCACAAGAGCAGGGCCAGAGGCCAGTTCACATGCAGGAGGACAGACATATATATAAAACTAGACAAGCAAGAGCAGGTATATATATATGTCACAGTACAAGTGAAGTCAAGAGGAGAGCAAGTGAGGCAAGACAGGCACAAGACCCAGCTGGGTGCAAAAGCGCTGATGGTCACAAGGCGCGAGTGCCTTGGTGAACACATCAGCAGTGTCGGCCTCAGAGGCCACGTACGCAAGTCGCAACTGACCACGCTGCTGCAGCTCACGAGCAAGGAAGTAGCGGAGAGCAATGTGCTTCGTTCTGTGCTCCAAGCGCTGCTCTCGACACAAGGCCAGCATGGCCTTGTTGTCTACGTACAGCACTGGAGGAGAACGAGGCGGCTCTCCAAGGTCAGTCAGCAGGTAGGTGAGCCAGCGAAGCTCCTGTGCAGCCATGGCCCCGGCGTAGATCTCAGCCTCACAACTGGAGCCGAGAACTGAAGACGAGCGAGTAGACCGCCACGAGACAGAGCCGGAACCAAGGCTGAAAGTGTAACCCTGTGACGACCGCTGCGTAGCCTGGTCGTCAGCCCAAGAAGCGTCCGCGTGGCCTGTAAGGACCACTGGACTCCGCCCTCCAAGCACTAGTCCCATGCTCGACGTACTGCACAGGTAGCGCAATACCCTCTTCGCTGCTGCCATGTGCTCTGGTCGGTGTCTCCCAGGAGCAACATAGCGTGCAAGAATGCTCAGAGGGTATGCAAGGTCAGGTCGTGTGCAGGTCATCAGGTACATGAGGCAGCCAACAAGCTCTGCATACGGACCACTCGACTCTACGGACTCATCCGAAGGCAGAGCTGAGAGTGAGTGGCGAGTAGGCAGAGGAGTGGCCTGAGGCGAGGAGTACGTGAAGTCGAAGCGCTGAAGGACCTGCTGCACCATGTGTGACTGAGTCAAGGTAATGGTGCGGCGTGCTCTGTCCCGAGTGATCTGCAAGCCAAGGTAGCTGCGCAGTTCACCCAGGTCTGTGCACGTGTGTCTCTTCAGCAGCTCGGACTTAACGTAGGCGAGTCCAGCAGTGTCCGCTGTGGCAAAGACCAAGTCGTCGACATACACGAGGATGTAGAACGGCGGCAGGGAAGTGTCGGTGCGAAGAAACAGCGACGGGTCAGCAGTAGAAGGAGCAAACCCAAGAGCCGCAAGCGTAGTCCTCAATGTGTCGTGCCACTCACGCGGTGCCTGGCGGAGACCGTAGACTGGCCGTCGGAGGCTCCACTGGGTGCCAGGAGGGAAAGTCCCAGTGAAGCCAGGCGGACGGCGCAGCCAGATCTCCTCGTGCAGGCTACCCTGCAGAAACGCAGTGCTGAAGTCGAGAGAGTGAAGCTCGTAGTCGCGCTGAGCGGCTATGTGCAGCAGCACCCGAAGAGTAGTCATCTTCGGGGTGGGAGAGAAGGTCTGAAAGTAGTCAACTCCCTGCCGCTGACTGAAGCCACGAGCAACGTACCGTGCCTTGAAGACAGGTGGAGAGCCCGGCGGCCGCTTCACCCTGAAGATCCACATGCCACTGACGATGTTCGCCCCAGGAGGGGGAACCGCGTCAACGTAGGTGCCTGTGGACTTCCAGGAAGCCATCTCTGCATCCATAGCTGCCTGCCACTGAGAGGAGTAGGGACCCTCTACGGCCTCTGCGTAAGAACGCGGAGTCGGGATGTCTAGTGCATCCGGGTCTCCCTCAGGGGAAAGCAGTACAGACGCGAGATGAGGTGAAGCAGCCGCTAGACACTGTAACTCCTCCTGCCTGTCCTCTAGGACGTCCGTGCCAAGAGCACACTCACCCCCGACGGACGGAGGACAGACAGACGCAGACTCAGCCACAAGACTAGCAGCGTAGTCGAGACGACAGCGAGCAGCAAAGTCGACGAGCTCAGCGACTAGAGCAGACGCAGCAGTGGACTCAAAAGAGGGGTCAGTGACGACAGTAGCAAGCAGACGCGTGACAGTAGGACTGGCAGCACGAAGAGAGTCCGACTCAGGGTTGGCAAGCGCAGGAAGAGAGGACTCAGGAGGAGAAGGCAAAGGGGCACGCAGAGGAGCAGTGGACGGACGCAAAGACATCCGGTGCGTGCCAGGGACAGGAGGAGGACGCTAACGCGAACTGCGACCACTAGCGCGAGCAGCACGAACAGGCGACGCGGGACGAGACGCAGGCTCACGACGCTCAGCAAGACCTCCAGTAGGACCAGAGTAAGGAGAGGGAGCAGGCAGTGGAGAGGAAGGCTCCAGCAGGGACTGCGACTGGACAGGCGGTGGACCCTCTACTGGAGGAGAAAGACCAAGAACCTGCTGCAGGAGCGGAACGAAGTACGGCCGAGGCCGCGCGGCAGCTCCAGACTCAGCAGGGACAGCACCAGCACCCTCAGCGACAGCACCAGCGCCACCCACACCTCAAGAGGCAGGACCAACAGTAGTAGGCTCAGCACCAACGCCCTCAGCAGCTCCAGCTCCAGGAGGACCCGCAGGTCCAGCAGCTCCGGGACCGGCAGCACCCGCACCCTCGACGGTCGAAGAAGCTCCAGCTCCAGCTCCAGCAGCACCTCCAGACTCAGCAGCACGCCTCCAGCGGCGAGCGAACCACTCGCGCAGCTCCTGTGGAGAGAGGGGCTCCCGGCGAGACGCAGCAGCAGGAGAAACCCCAGGCTCAGCAGCTCCAGACGCAGCACCCCCAGGCTCAGCAGCTCCCAGCTCAGCACCCCCAGGCTCAGCAGCTCCCGACCCAGCACCCCCAGACCCAGCACCTCCAGGCACAGCACCCCCCAGCTCAGCACCCCCAGGCTCCGCACCCTCCGCAGTAGCACCCCCAGGCCCAGCACCCCCAGCAGTAGCACCCCCAGGCTCAGCACCCCCGCGCACAGCACCCCCAGAGTCAGCACCCCCAGGCTCAGCACCCGCAGCAGCACCAGAGTCACCAGTAACCTCGACCGGGTCAACGGCGTCTACCTGGGACACACCTGAGGGGGCAGGAACCTGAGGGGGGAGGGGGTCTACCGGGGGGGGAACCGGCACAAGGAAGTCCGGGGGAGGGGGGAGGGAAGGAGTGCGGTAGGGGAAGAGACGGTAGAAGGGGACTGACTCGTCGAACGTGACGTCCTGGGAGGACAGAACACGACGAGAGGAGGGGTGGTAAAACTGCCACCCTGGGGCGTCAGTGGGGAAGCCAAGGAAGACACAGGGAGCAGCACGAGGGGACAGCTTGTCCGCAGACAAGTCGCGGACAAACGCCCGAGATCCCCAGACACGGAACACAGACGCATCGCCAACCTTCCCCGTCCACAGCAAGGCTGGGGACATCGCAGGCCGAGAGACCCGGGGGTGAAGGTTGAGCTGATGCGCCGCGTACCTCACCGCAAACGGCCACAGAAAATGGGGGGCAGCCGCACGCATCATGGACGTACGAGCGACATCCATGACCATGCCAATGCGGCGCTCAGCAATCCCATTTTGCTGTGGTGAGTCCGGAAGCGTGAAGGTCTGGCGGATCCCCCGTGCACGACAGTAGTCTCGCAGAAGGCGAGAAGAGAACTCTCCGCCTCTATCCGAGTGCAGACGCAGAACAGGAAAGTCCGAGCCGAAGCTCTTCCTGAGCTGGAGACGAGCCTCGCGGATCCAGTCGATCAGCACCTCAGTGACCGCACCCTTGCTGCGCAAGGGGAGGACTGTGGTGTAACGCGAGTAGTCGTCAACCACCAACAGGAAGTAGCGCTCGTGACCCTGCCCACGGACGGGGGCTGGGCCCCACACATCCATGTGAAGCGTCTGCAGGGGAGCCTCTGTCGGGGGGAAGTGGGAGGAGTGAGGAGTAGCCCGGAGGCGACCCTCGACACAGGGGACACAGGAAGGTCCTGGCCCGGAGGGGAGAGGAGGGAGAGACTGGGGAAGACCAGAGACAAGGACACGGGAAGCCATGCTCCGAAGACGGGGCAAGGAGGGGTGGCCAAGACGGTGGTGCCACAGGAGAGTCTTGTGAGACAGGAGGCGACAAGAACAGGGGGCAGACTCAGGACCTGACCGGGACGCAGCAGCAAGCACCTGACCTTACGCAGCTACCTGACCGGACGCAGGGACAGGAGGAGACGAAGTGGTCAGGGTGTAGAGACTCGACCCCGGCCGACGCGAGAACGTGGCCAGGTGTCGGCCTGTGCGTGCGTCCGTGCAGTGGGTCACCCGCTGACTCGCAGGAGTGAACTGGTGAACCCCCGCATCCTGTAGGGCTGCACCACTCACCAGATTCGTAGAGAACGAGGGAAGGTACAGACCAGACAGGGTGCCCGAAGGGGCAGCCGGACACGGGAGGACAGTGGAGAAGTGAGACAGGACAGGACCCCCAGAGGGGTCAGCAAGGGAGACTGCAACCGGCCGGCCGAGCGGAGTAAGGGTAGTGCGGTCTCGAAAGAAGGAGCGAGAAGCCCCGGAGTCAAGTGTGAAAGTGAGGGAGGACGAGGACGACGCAGTACCTGAGAGCGCAGTCTCACCAGTACCTGAGAGCGCAGACGCACTGGCACCTAGAGCAGCAGCCTCACAAGCACCTAGCGCAGCAGTACCAATGCCCGGGTCGGGCTGGAAACACCGGTAACCCTCATTCTCCTCACTATAAGTCACAGCATACATAGCAGCAAGGATAGCATCAAAATCAAGATCAAAGATCGCTACACCAGCCCTAAGAAGCTCATCCCAGCGAGGGATCTCACTAGCCCCAGGGAACTGCTGACGCCAAGCGTCCGTCAGGCGGCCAAAGCAGCGCTGGGTGGCGTGGGCACCCCCACACTGCTCACCCGTGCGGTCGCCGGAACGAAGAACGTAGGTGCAGGGACCAGTACCCCCACCCCTCTGACGCCCAGCGTACCACTCACGAAGCTGCTGAGGCGGAGGGATGTCCCGCGAGCGCTGCTGCTGCTGCCGCTGCGAGCGCTGGCCACCACCACCGCCGCTACGCTGCTGGGTACCACCCCGACCAGCTCCACCTCCTCCACCACCACCGCCTCCTCCGCTGCCGCCTCCACCGCCTCCACCTCCGCCGCCTCCACCTCCGCCGCTGCCTCCACCACCACCGCTGGCACCACCACCACCGTCTCCGCCGCTGCTGCCACCACCACCACCACCCCCGCCACTAGTCCCGCCGCCACCCCCACTCCCTCCGCCGCCACCGCCGCCACCGCCACCGCCCCCTCCAGCTCCACCCGCGCCCTTGCCCCCCTTGCCCTTGCTGGAGCGACGTCTCCCACTAGGGGCAGACGCCGCGCCGACCGACTCAAGACCAAGCAGGTCGGCAGCAGCAGCAGAGGCAACAGAGGGCAGCAAGGGGGAAGGAGAGCACCCCTCAAAGATGGGGGTGCGAGGGTCACCACGAGAAGCACCTACAGCGACTATGCTCTTCTCCGCTGCGAGGAGGGCCTTCTCGAGGAGGTCGACGGTGAGGGTGGTGGGACAGACTGCGAGAAAGTGGTCCCTGACGACGCGAAGGGAGTCAGGGAGGCGCGCGACTACGTAGTAGAGAGCGATGTACATGGGGGGTGGGTTCTTAGCGCAGAACTCAGCAGGAAGGGCGGCGCGGTAGCGAGTGTCACTAGTGCGGAGGTGCGTAATGAGGTCAGCGACAGTGGGAAAGGCAGAGAGGTCAGGAAAGAGGTAGGGAAGCATGAGACGGCTCAGTGCAGCAGTGGCAGGGGAGGAGTAGCGCGCAACGACAGCGTCGTACAAGGTCTGAGCACTCTTGTACTGACTAAAGTGCGCACGCTCAGAGGTAGGGAGGTGGCGACGCACAGCAAGACGTGCAGCAGCATCGCGGGTGGCCCACTAAGAGCGGACAGTGGGATCAGCATCAGCTGTAGGAGCACGAGAGGCGCCAGAGGTGAGGTTAAAGAGAGAAAGGCCATCAGCCCTGTCGCACTGTAAGAACAGCTGGAGGTCGTCTAACCAGACCTCAAAATCAATGGCGCGACCCTCAGCGTCAAAAGCTAGGACACTAGGGGTAGCCATGGCGACGACAGCGAAGCAGTGCAAGTAGTAGGGAAAGAGCTCGCAGTGACAGTGGGACTGTGCTCACCAGGCAGGGCAGGTCGTGCAGCTCTGCAGAAAGGCGGCTCGGCGACCGGGCGGCTCGGGTGCACAGCGGCTCGGCTCCCGGGCGGCTCGGCGGCTAGGCGGCTCGGGCGCAGGGCGGCTCGGCTCCCGGGCGGCTCGGCGGCAGGGCGGCTCGGGTGCAGGGCGGCTCGGCTCCCGGGCGGCTCGGCGGCAGGGCGGCTCGGGTCCCGGGCGGCTCGGCGACAGGGCGGCTCGGCTCCCGGGCGGTTCGGCTGCACTGCTGCCCGACTGCTGCAGGTGTGGCGGCGGGGCCGCGTGAGAGAGCCGGGGCGGGGACGCGTGAGGGCCGGCGGCGGGGGCCGCGTGAGAGCCGGGGCGGGGCCGCTTCAGAGCCGGCGGCGGGGCGGCAAGAGAGCCGGGACGGGGCCACGGAAGAGCCAGGGCGGGGCCGCGACAGAGCCGTCAGCGGGGCCGCGTGAAAGCCGGGGCGGGGCCGCGGGAGAGTCGGCGGCGGGGCCGTAGGAGAGCCGGCGGTGGGGCCGCGTAGGAGCCGGGGCGGGGCCGCGCGAGAGTAGGCGGCGGGGCCGCGTAAGAGCCTGGGCGGGGCCGCGACAGAGCCGTCGGCGGGGCCGCGTGAAGGCCGGGGCGGGGCCGCGTAGGAGCCGGGGCGGGGCCGCGTGAGAGCAGGCAGCGGGGCCGCGTAAAGGCCGGGGCGGGGCCGCGACAGAGTCGGCGGCGGGGCCGCGTGAGAGCCTGCGACGGGGCCGCGTAAGGGAGGGCGGCGGGGCCGCGTCAGTGGAGGCGGCTGAGCCGCAGGGGAAAAGGCGACCCGAGGGGTCGCTAAAAAAAATCGCGCCTCGGGGCGCGCTTCGGTGGGCCCAAAAAAACGGTCCTTAGAAGGACCCGCTCTATACCATGTGCGAATAAGCGAACAGGAATGAATGAACTAGCAGTGAAATGAGTACAAGTAGGAAACCCTAGAATTGTGTACCCCCTATAGGCTAACCCACTGTAGCCTACACAAGCATAACATATATAATGTTTGACAGTGGAGTGCGGTGACGAGTCCAAGAATCTGCAGTCCACTCTGTGAGTAGCGGGGAAGATTTACGTCATCGGGATAAGCTGCTTCATCTCCCGCTTCTGGATCAGGTATGAAGTTCGGTCCTACTCGTTCTGCTTCGTTGGTGTTGACTGTCGCAGGTGTTATGTAACCGCTGTCGGCGAAGTGGTAGAAGGTTTCGGCGTTGACACTTTCGCGAGGGTTATCTTCGTCCATGGGAATGTTGATGGAGCAGAACGGAAGAGGTCCGGCTTCTTCTGATGCGTTGTCCACATTCTGCTCGTCCAGTCAGCTTCGTCCCCTGCTGAGGCGAAGGCTCAGTACAACTAATGCTCGTTTGGCGCACCCAACTTTGCGTTGTGCTTTGGGCTTATAAGCGGTTTTTGCATTTCACAAATGTTTCGTCAATTCACACGAGGCAAAAAGGGCTTATAAAAAGCAAGTGTAGCCCACCATTGACTGTTTGACTTCAGTCTTTTCAGTCAAACCTCGGTTTCTGTTGTTAGTATTGGCTGATTTAGGTGGCAACTTGTTAGAGGTGCTTGTAAATGGGGTGCAACGTCATGGAACAAAACCAACCGGGTGCAAGGCAAATTCGCGTGCAGGAGGTGAGCATCACATGTACCGTATACTCCCGGACAAAACACCCCCCCATAATTGTAGACCCCCGGGTAGCTTGTGCGGGGTGGGTGTTATGATAGACCTCATTTCTACTATACCCCCCCTTTTTGGCTGATTTTCTATAACACCCCCCTATTCTTACGGATTCATTATTATAGTCGTTAACGGGTAGCTGCAATACGGAAGAATATCGTGTGAATTTCTCCCTCAATGAAATTTCGCGGTACATTCTGTTGGAAATAAGAAGTCGCTAGAGCGCAGCGGAAGCTCTAGGAATTAACGACGTCCCTACGGCGGGGCTATTGGTCACTCAGAGTTAGCTCTCCTGGCTTGTAACGTGGTGCCAAAGCAGCGGCCGAGGGTAGGCCGGACACAAGCTTGAGAATTGTGTAATATGAGCAAGGCATTACATTCTGTTATATAGCAAACGCATAGGGCAAACAGTTACCAAGGCGCAACTGTATAACAGTTGCGCTGCGTCGCTTGGGTTGCCTTGTTACAGTCGTGCTGGCGAGACTTTTCAGCTTCGGCAAGGGCGCGGTATCCTGCCGCGCCCTACAGGTCAGTTTCGCGTACTGTAGACGATGACTCCTGCTGTCGATTCGACTCTTGAGCTGCCACGCGGGTCGCAACCGCTGTGCTCGGTTGCGTCCTGTTGACTCGCCACCAGTTTCAAATCCCTCGCTATGGCGAGCCCCTGTAAACACACTTCGAACAGTGCACTTACAATAAAAGCATACAAACATATTCTCAACACATTCAAAGGCAATCTGCCGAGATTTGCCCCCTCCCACTATTTCTCTGTTGCCACGTGCAGGTGAATCTTCCGTTGCAAGTGGCAAGAGAGGTGTCACATGGCATTTTCGTGAGGGCGAAGAAGTTTGAGGCCGAAACTGACAGCAAAACACCCACATTGACTAATTAAAAAAACACTAACACTAAAATATGCCATATGTAAAGACCCGGGTATTATGTTTTTTTTCCAATGAGGAGACCCCCCCCATTTTTTCCCTGTATTTTTAGCTATACCCTAGGGTGTTATGTCCGGGAGAATACAGTACGCATAGAATGAACTAAGGGCTATTAGTAGCCAACAAGCAATCACGAGCACGAGGTAGATTCCAAACGTGTCTTGCGTGTAGACTGGAGAACAATGGCGGGCGAGGGACAGCAGGAAGCAGGCAATCACGGCAGACGTTAGTTCAGCAGGCAATCACAGCAGGAAATCACAGCAGGAAATCACACCAGGCTATCATACCAGGAAATCACAGCAGGCAATCACAGCACGCAATCACAGCACGCAATCACAGCACGCAATCACAGCACGCAATCACAGCACGCATTCACGGCAGGAGAGACCAGCATGAGTCGAAGTCAAGCGTGGTTCGGTCCTGTTTCGCTGCAAGTTCCAACAGCAAGGTGACTTTTGAGTCGACTCCGGACGCGGTGAAAGTAGACGTTCGATCGTCAGCAGCGACCGATGTGCCGATCAGTTACCCTATTAACTACGTTGCAACCATGCTACAGTAAGCTTTCTGGCCATTTTTTTTGTGCAGTGAGAATGCGACTGATCACTTTTCGCAGGAAATCTGTCAATTTTCAGCCGCGATCGTTACAGCTTCGCGGTCGCCACGTTTCGCCAAACGATCTGCCCACTCGATTGTGGGGATCGATATATGCAGACGATCCTGCAATATTTGCACTTTCAACGCGTCCTCAAAAGTCACCTCGGTTCGGTCCCGTTTTGCTGTTAGTTCCAGCAGCAAAATCACTCACTCACTCACATGACTCACTCATCCCCGTTTAGATGATTTTGCAGCCGTTGGATCCACTTTAATAATTATCTCCAGTGACATACACATTCCCAACAGTAAAATTACGCGCATGACTCACTCGGACTATAATCGAAGTCAGATTCCCAGCCGTCAGATCCGTCGTCCGTGAAAGTGCAGTAGATGGATTCCCAGCCGTTAAAACTGTCGTCCGTGACCAGGCCGCCCAACATGACCTGTCTCGAATTCGGGTGAGGGGTGTGTTGGGCGAGAGCAGAGAGAATGGGAAGTGAAGTGAAGAGAAGAGAAGTGAATTGAACTGAATGGAGTACCTTGAGAACGAGAAGAGAAGTGAACTGAATGGAGCGAAACGATGTGAGGCGAGAGGCAGTCGGTGGCGACCAAAAAATGAAGCGACACGGTACGCGTCGACTACTACTAGGGACACGGGACAAGGGACACGGGGCTTAGGGCGTTATCATACACACCCACCTCGGGACTGACGAACGGCTGGGAGCCGTCATCGTTAGTCTGGTAGGAGTTGGTCGACATGTCCCACCAAATACGCCCGCTGCTCTCCCCCGTCGGGTCGCCCTGGATCCCCCGCTGGGTCTCCGTGTCTCCGCCCAACGATTTGACTTTTGAGTCGACTTGGGGAGCATGCGCAGCTCTGCTTGAAGACGCCCCGGATCCCCCGGATCCCCTTGTCTCCGTGTCTCCGCCCAACGAGTTCTCGAAATTTCCAGTCACATCCTGGCCGGACCCCTCGGTCGAGGTCCCATAGTAGATTAAGTACTCCTTCGAATAGGCCAGTATCGGGCCGCCCTGGTTCGCAGTGTCCGTCGCGCCCTCCACCTCGCGCCGCTGCTGCTGGTGCTGAAGCTTCCCGAGAGGCAGCCTGAGAGGGACGAACCGCGTCGCGGACGCGCTTTGGGTCGTTGCAGTGGAATTCCGTACTATTGCGTATGGGGACTCGGCGGATCGCGCAGAACTCGCGCCACGAAGGGGAATGAGCCTTGCTCCCGGAGGGGCGGCGGAAGGGAGAGCGGAGGGTTGCGGAACCCCCGCCGGAGTTGCAGAAGCGCTGTTCGGCTGCAATGCGGGCGTTTCAGAAAGAGAGACGGAGATCTGGTCGCTGGGTCCCCGCATTGGACGCCGTATTGCCCGCCAAGGGATACTAAATTCCTGCGCAGCCTTACCGCTCGTCGCCACGCCTTCAGGCGACGCTTTTCGTGCGGCGGAGGCAGAAACCGCCGGAAGCATTGTTATGAGCGTGACGAGAAAGGTACGTGCCACTATTGTGGGAAATGCACCCATCTTTGGACCCATGCTAACTCAGTGAGTCACGGCTGTGAATATCACGCGAGCGTGGGCCACGTGAGTGACGGAAAGGCAGACCCAGGGGTTTTGAAGAGGCTATTCGCAAGACGTGTCGGCCGCCGACACAAGTTAGGGTTTGACGATCTTGTGCGGCACAAGATAGAGCTTTCGACACGAAG